CAGTTAGGCACTGACCTTTGGATTTGTCTGTGAGATATCGGTCGAGTTCGCTCCGGGGCCACAGTCACTACCGGTGATTGGCGGATATCGACATGCTTTCTGCGGTGTTCATGCTGTACCAGCTGCATGTATACATAGAGCAGCCAGTGTTGCCAATAGCATTACCAGTGCACAAGAACATCACAGCACTCACAGTTCACCTCATTGATGACACGAACCAGTTGCAAATTTGCCATGTTCTTACTAGATCCATACATGTGTAGTACAACACACCATACAGGGTCGGGTAGACAGTCTACAACACACCATACAGGGTCGGGTAGACAGTCTACAAACACCATACAGGGTCGGGTAGACAGTCTACAAACACCATACAGGGTCGGGTAGACAGTCTACGGTGCCTCAATAATAGGACTACACCCAATGATTGAGATTAGTTGAGCCCAGGTTCATCTGAATCAGGCAAACATTGAGTGGCACAGGTGGCACATGCAAGTGACGGCACCATATTGCAACGGTGTCTGCACGATTTTAAATTTGCTCAAAGCCTAGGTATTTCAGCAATGCAATGGTGAGGCCATGATATTTTGTTCTAAAGCATTCTTGGGGCAGATGAATTTTTTCCTGAGGTGTTGCTCAGCTCACAATTGCATTTCTGATATGAATGCCCCTATGTCTGCTCCACCAGCTTGACACACACACATACACCGACCTACCTGTCTTTCCAGCTTTACCCGCTGGTTCTCGAGAGTCTTGATCTTCTCCATCATTTCCACCTGTAATGTATTGTGCAAGGATGCAAGCCATTCAATACCAGCCAAACGTCAGCGTACCTATTTTTAAAGTTTTTAACCAATGCTTTTTTGTATAAGATGATGAGGAGAGCACCGACCCCACCTCCAAATACCATGTACCAGTACCGTAGAATCCCACCAGAGCGCCCCGTCTCTCCCATGCACCGCTCCTTGACTTCTTGTCAGGGAAGTGATTGATTGTATCCTCGCATGACTCTGCGATGCCATACTGTACTGCAGTCGAGTGCTCGATCCGGTTGGAATTGTACGCAACAATGCCCACCCTCTTGACCAGGGATCCGCACAAACCCTGACCAGGCTGTTTTGATGGGTCTGTACGATTCATGGCTCTTGACCTTTGGTTGGTGTACGAGATGCACGAACAGTTTTCGTAGGGTGAGTACTTTTTCTTGTAGTACTGAATGTGGTAAGTAGGACTCGCCCACCCGCCCCTCCCCATCTGGACCTACTCGGAGGGTGGTGGAGGTAGGGGTGCTCTGGTGGGATTTTACGGTACATGTAAAACTGCAACTACATTGCATTCAAAAACAGGTGGGCGATGGAGCTCTGAAAGCCCGATTTCAACCTTACAATTTCATTATTTTGGGTCTTGAAATTGCAGCAGTTCATGTATTGCGCTGCCACACTGAACGGCTACACCGTGAACACAAACTGCATTTGGGAACGTGAACCTCGGCACAATCATGCTGCAAGTATAATATATGTATTCGTAAAGGTGAAACTCAGCTAGCCATCAATACTGTGCTATGCCATTCCTAAAACCAGGCAAGAAGGAGCCGCTAGCGCCAGAGTCTTCAAACAGGAAAGAAGTGGAATATGTTTGAAAAGTACACTCAATGGTAATCCAGTGTCAATTCACAGCCCCATCCTCCCAAACACACACACTCACCCTACCCTCCTAAACACACACACACCGTACCCTCCGAAACACACATACCCCAAGAACTACATTGCCCACCTTTTCGCGGACAGCCGTTTCGGCCATTTTGTTCAGCGAGGTGTGCAGTGCACGCACAGAGTCCTGCTCACTGCCATGCCCAGCACCATGCCCAGCACCGGCATGCATTTGAGCAGTTAGACTGCTCTGTAGGAGTGCTTCTCTTTCCTGGTCACATGATGTCAAAATGGTAGAGAGTATACAACGTATAACCGATCATGGCAAGTATTTCAGCAGGTGTGTAGCAGCAACAGCACGGATTAACAGCACTGAGTGAATTGCAGTTCGAATGAAAGAAAGTAGCACCCAAGACACAGCATTCCATGCCAATATACTAAGACGTGTGCAAAGACAACGGAAATACGCCGAGCCGCCGCAATAGTCACGGTATTGTACATCGATCTGACCTGTGCTGATTGCAGTGACTTCTTCAGGTCAATGTTCTGCTCTTCCAAGTACTGCCTGGCATTGCAGAGACGGACCAGCTCCACTTCCATCTCCTCGTTCTTCGTCACCTGCAGGAAGCCATAATACAGCAACTCACCCGGTTCATGTACTTCAAAGTACATCAAGTACATCCTACCTTTTTGTACCTTTTTGTACCTTTTTGTACCTTTTTGTAGTCCCTGTGTACCTACATGTAGGAGGGACTGTAGAGCAGGTCAGGTCTGGTCAGGCCTATTCATCTAGCCTGCACAGCTGCCAATTGTGTATGCCAGGAGAGAAGGCAGGGAAACACTGGCTAAGAGAGTTCCCGCACATACAAGCCACTGGTGTTCATTAGCACTGCTAAGCCAGTGCTGCTGGGTGACAGCTCAAGTAAGGGATCTCATTGACTTCTGCTCTGCTGCTTCTTCATTTATGAAGTCTGCTCCTCCCCCCCCCCCTCCTAGTTTGACAGTGCAACGTACAGCGCATAGTTTAAAAAAAAGTTGACCAGGTGAATCGTTCATGCAGCACAGGAATCGTTCATGATGGGCACTGGCACCCACTGCCCATCATATACTACATGTAGCAGCCAGTTGCCCAAGTCACGGCTGTGTACCGATGTACCCGGTGAAATATAAGAGTAACTGTTATGTCTTAGCATGGTGATTACTTCTATCCCAGCCTGTCTCCAGGTGGCTACCCCGAGGCTCCCTCCTTGTGCAGCATACCTGCTCCTGTGTCTTCCTTCTCAGTTCTTGCAGTTCCGTAGACTGATGGCCATGAGCACTGGTGGCTTTCATTCGCTCTGCCGTCGTGACCTCCAGCCGCTTCTGCAACTGCTGGAAGGCTTTTTGCTGGTCATGCAGGCGCACCTTCATCTCCTCGCACTGCACCTCCAGCTGAGCAACCTTGCCAGTCACAAGCACAGTCACACGCACACAATCCGCACACAATCCGCACACAATCCGTACACAATCCGCACACAATCCGCACACAATCCGCATCAGTAGACTCAGTGAAAAGTACCTTGTCGTGCACAGTACAACAAAACAGGACCGGCATCTGACTACCTCGGTTAATACATAATCATACACGCCTGTCCAGTATGGCATCCAATTTTAAGCCACTGTCACATGAACATGATACAGCGTGTCGATGACCCAGTTCAGTCAGAATCCCAGGGAAATCCCCACCGGGCACGATGGCAATGACACAATCAAAAATGAGATGGCTAACATTGTTGGCAGCTAGTATAAACTAGTGATTGGCTAGTTAGACCGTTTTTAAAACAAATTCCCATATCTGCCCAGACAAAGTACAAGCAAGCCTGCCAATCTGGTTATCACTCAGACTGCGCTATATACCTTTCCTTCTTGCTCCAGTTTCTCCATCTTGACTTGAAGCAGCGACTGTGATATCTGCACGCACATGTACACATGCCACCATGCATATATCAGCGTGTTATACTAGTCAGGAAGACTGTGTGACAGCATGGTACCTGCCGAGAACTCGGCGTCCATGGCTCAGAAGTATGTGTTAGAGCAAGTAGGCAGGTCGTGGACTGCGAGAGTAACTGTCAGTGATGCCAGGGTACATGTACTGCAACCTCCAGTAAGTTTCAGATTTGCTTCAGACTTGCTTTTCGCCGGAGTCCAGTGGTGTATCAGACCACTGCCATCGGGCAGGGATAGTTGCTCAACCGCTCTACGTGTACCATTTCCCTATTATCTACTTTCACTGCATAATAGTTGGGACATATTGAGGGGGAGCCAAAATGGGTTTGGGTAGAAAGTAGGGGTGAAACGGTTCGGGTAAGGAACCGGTTTTGGAACCGCCAGCTGAAAAGATTCGGGTACCCGTTCCGTCAAATTTCGAACCGAAACCCGAAAAATCTCGTTCTTGTACAAATACATGTACACGTCAAGTCTACTCAAGATTTTTAGGGGGCGTTCGTTTTTGATCTACAGGTTTGGGTAGAAACTACTTCTTTCGGTAGAGGTGTTCGTTTTTTTTAAAAAAATTCTACTCAAAAGGGTAGATTCTACTTTCCTCTACCGGCTCTACCGGGAAAAAGTTGGCAGAATCCGGTAGAAGTTGGTAGAGCTACGGGATTTCCATCAAGATCAAGGATTTGTACACAACTCCATAAAAAAAAGAAACATTTCACGTACGCATCGTGTAAACTACTAGATCTGGTAGAACAGCGTTCGTACACTTGCCTCTACCATCTACCTCTATCGGTAGAGTGACTCTACTCTACTCTACCAAGTAGCTAAAAACGAACGCAGCCCTAATGTCTTACCTTACGATCCCCACTCTTCCAAAGAGTTCTGGTCATCATGGTCATTATCTTCTTCGCACTTGGACTCTCCGATGTCTCATTCTTACTCGTAAAAATGTTTTTTTCTAAAAAAATAATTGTCGCGAACGCATTTTGTCGGTCTGGAGAAAAGAGGGCATGGAACCGATACCCGAACCGTGGGAAACAATGTTGGCATTCGGGTACCCGAACATGAAAAACATAGAACCGTTTCACCCCTAGTAGAAAGATGCACCGACATTTGATATTAGTATTCAGAAAATAGCCAAAGAAGAGAGACTTTGTGAATTACCTTGAGATAATCATCATGCTCTTGGACCTTGGAACTCTTGGAGAATTTGAGATCAGCCAGCTGTTCTCGAAGAGCCAGAACCTCCGATTCCAATACAGCCTGGTTACACACACACACACACACACACACACATACGCACAATACACATGCCTATAGTTGTCAATACCGTGAAACTATTTTCTACATCCCACATTATATGGCCCGTGCAATTCTTCCTGGCCATGCATCTGAAAGGTTGAAATTCATCCCAAAATTGGGGCACCAACGCCCCGCGAGACTAGTTTGGATGAATGAACTGTCAATTTTTCCAAGACACTGCATTTGTAAGCTAGCGCTATCTTCAATGGGGTTTCTCAGTTTTCTGCCATCATACATATAATTATTATGTGTGCTGCTTGCCATCAAGCACATAGCTAAGTTATTTGAAGATTGATAATGTCACCCGTGGCATGGCCGGGCATTCAAGCTGAATAGCATAACTTACTTTATCTCGCCGGAGCGCCCCGTTCTCCTCGTGCACATCCGACTGGGCCATCCTGGTGTTGTTGAACGCCGCTGCTCTCGACTTGTAGTGGAGAGTATTAGAACGGTGCACAGTTATCAAACTCTGCAGAGTAGTACACAGCCATGCATATACACAGTACACAGTTTACCGGTATCAGCACTGCAGATCGCAATGCGTGTATAACAAACAGGATTGCGAGATTCCAAGTGCTCCTACACCATGGCCTGTTAGTGCGCTCACAAGCTTCACACAGTAATATCATAGTACCCGGAGCAGCAGATCTACACGGAGGGAAGAGCAACATGCAAGAACAAGGAGTCCACAGCCTGGTGTGGACTCCCCCACATGGATGTTCCACTCCATGCTTGCCGACTTTCATCAGTTAGTTTAGTGTATTTCCCCGAGTACAAGTCGCACCTATTTGCAACAAATCCCCGGGGTCGAACAAGGGAGTGCGACTTACAATCAAGTGTGACTTATTACTGAAGTGAACATACCGAAACCATAACATGACGAAGACCTCAACATGGTGGTGCGACTTGTAATTGGATGCGACTTTCAATCGGGCAAATACTCTCTGCCCACTCACCTGGACTTGTGGATAGTTGACAACAGGAGTGTTCTCGACGAGCGCAAGCTGATTGGCTACCTGTAGCATGGCATCCAAGAGGTCCGAGCCACCACCTCTGTGCTGCAGGCTGGTGTCCCTGATGTAGAGCAGGCACTGGGTGCGACAGTTGCCACCCAGTATGTCCTCGAGCAGTTGTGTGAGCACAGACTTACTGCATGGCAAGCACAAGTAGCAGCAACAGCAATCATGCTGAGCAGCATACATTGTATCCCGGTGTGTGTGTGGGGGGGGGGGGGGGGGGGTATATCGGTGACCAACTCCGGTTCATGCAACAGTTGCCAATTCATTCGTTATCTGTACCTGCACTGTGGAAATATAACAGCAGCAGCTTGTCATGCATGTCTGCACACAGCTATAGGCCCTAAATGACAGAAAGATAAAACTACACGTCGTGCTACTACAAAGTGTCTTACCTATATGCAGCAACACAGTCCGGAGGTCGTGGTGACACAGACAGCTTCTCCACCAACGACCGGACAGCTTGAAGACCGGCATACTGAGATGGGTCGGACTCCAGGCGCGTCTCTAGCGTGCTGGGAGATAGGCAGTCAGCACTTGGCAGAGCGAGAAATGTGAAAGTAGAATCCGTTGTTACAGGCCGTGCGCCAATGGCATTGGTCTGTTGAAGTGGCAAAGAAAAAAAAGTTAAATTATCATAAACTAGTACAGCAGCCAGCAGCAGCAGTAGCAGCACTTCTGGATGCAACCATCAGTGTGTTAACTTATGTTTGCTGGAACACCATGACCCTTGTTGCACTGAGCCATTGTCAATCCTGAAGAGCTGCTGGCTGTTGTCGGCCGGCAGTCCAGGCTGCTGCTGCTATAATAATACTTGTCAAGTACACTCCCACATATTGAAATATCTAGTAGATCTATTGCTACAGTGCAGCTTAGTAAAGCACTAACTTGAACTGAGTCCCCTATCTTCTAGTAGTACTTCCGTGATGTTCTAGTAATACAGTGTATTGTACCAGTGAACCTTTGTTGATAGGGCTAAGGGCAACCTATTTTTTTAAATGCGGTAGAATTTTTCCCATTGACTTTAAAGTATTGGCCTAAGGCCCTCATCAGACTCTCATCAGACTCTCATCAGACTCTCATCAGACTCTCATCAGACTCTCATCAGACTCTCATCAGACTCTCATCAGACTCTCATCAGACTCTCATCAGACTACGTACATAGAAAATCCAGTACAAAGTCACATAAAACCTAAAAGGCAACATTTTTCCATGCCTGCATTCAGACTACACATTTTACATGCAATATACAGGCAACCTTTGACCCTACGAAATTGCGCATGGTGCCTGGGATGTGTGAAAGCAGCGGACAGTCGTACCCGGGTACAAAGTCCGTACAACTGCCTGATGAAAGTACGATAAATGCAGGAAAGTTGCCTTGTACAAGGGTTGGCACCCTGCCTGAAAGGATTGGGCAGCTTTTTAGGCTTCCCGCCAGATTCTTGTTGTTGTCTTGGAAACTTCTATGTAAATGTGACTTATAGGCTGTTTTGTACCTAGTCTGAAGAGGGCCTAACCTTGTTCAAATGAAGCATAACCAACACGGCAGCATGTTCCCGTGAGCGGATGTTGCTCCAAGCAAAGCGGAACACCTCGGCCGTGTCCCGTGCCGTCGAGACGTCCACCGACTTCAGACCGGCAACGTGGCTGCCGTGCTGCGCGTCGGCGCGCAATGCAAGAGACCCGGCCGTCGTGGCAACTCCTCCGACGCCGTCGTCACTTGGCTCCAGCAGATCACGCACGGTCTCGTTGCTGACCTGAACACACTCAAGACGAGCCCTACACGTATGACCCGCAGTATGCTCCGGGTGATCACTAGCATTAGCAAGCTCATCAAGTCGATGAAACACATCGACGAAGCAGAGCGGGACCATTCCGATGCGCGACGTTGGATCGCCGGCCAGGGAGAATTCGGCCGAGTGCGCCAAGCCCAGCGTGGCGAAGCAGACATTCTCACCACGCAGGAAGAAACTGACCAGGCGCCCTGCTGTTGCTTCGTACACCTGCTCAGTATCCAGGCTGCTGTTGAAGGTCCGTTTGAGTCCGGCTAGCCGTGGGTCAGAGCCGCTTCCTGGGCTAGATCTGGTATGCGGTGCATCGTCATCTTCGTCATGATCGATTGCATCACTCCACAGCCGGCAAAACACCTCTATTTTCACCATCCTTGCTTGCGGGTCCCAGCAGTTGTCTTCTCAGGGACCAACCGGGATGGTGAGATCACCGTGATCATCTACTTGGCACCATATCGACAAGAAACGACATAGCCACCGGCACGGATCGAATCTAAACTGCCTGCTGAATCCGTGACACACTCTTTCCGATCTGGGGCGATAACATAGGGGATGTGGCTGCAGAACATTCATTTAGATTCAGTTGCTGTGTTACCGGTCGAAGTCATTCAAAACTGCTTCTTGTCTGTGCAGTGGGCACTGCACTGGCTCGACCTGTCATCAAGTACAGTCATGTACAGGCAAGAGCCAAGACGCTGACCACGGAGATCTACGGAAGAGAATCACGGTTCTTTCAAGTCACACGAGCACGCCAGATTAGATGAAGCGAAACCGTGGCACGCAGTAATTCCAGATCAGGACATGTATTCCATAGTGGGAAATTCTGGAACAAGATTCAGCATGGTCGCTCCAGTCCAGATTAGATGGGTCCCATGGTGTTCTACACAGTGGCTAGTGGGGACGCTGAAATGTTACCTCCACGCAATCGCTCCACTCACAGCGTGTGAGCGAGCTGCGGGCACCTAAGGTCCATTGTCGAGAGAGAAACCATTGTTCAAATCCAGCAAGCACTGTACTGTGGAATGATTATTTCGCCGATTGGACCTCCATTCATTCGTTTCTAAAAATTATGAAACGGTCGTCATACATGTAACTCACTATCCCCACACGTATATCTACACTCGTACTCCCGGCCACAGGCACAGGTACAGGCGCTGCAAGTGTAGCACATAACCAGGACAACCATGAATCAACCTACCATGACTACCGCTAGCTTCAATAATCAAGCGCTGCTTTTCTAGCGCCATGTCGACAGTGTCACTGTCAAGTGTCAGTCATTTTAGATGGTAATATGAGCAAACCCCGTAGGACCACAACACATCAGAGATAAACAGCTGAAAGTATTTTCCATCACTGACATCAGTTGTCACCAGCTTCTTTTTGACGAAATTACAGTCGAAGTACTGTTCTGGACTGGTGATGCTGGATAGGAATTAATAAGCAACATGAGCAAACTAGGAGCCACTGGCCAAACCTGTCACGGCTAAAATACAGCGTCAGCATGAAGCTCACAGCAGCAGTAGCATATCTACAGCACGGCAAAGTCTCGCCATGTACATCAGCGATGAAAGCAAGAAGAGAAACTAGAAAGCAAGAAATAGGGGGACGGAAAGAAGAAAAAAAGAAGGAAAATAAAATACTTGGCCGGAGGTCACCCGTGACCCTAGGCAATGCACAGCATCGACAAGTCTATAAACGAGAGAAACAGGCAAACAGCTATTGTATAATATGTATATGCAGGCAACACATACAAATCTATAATACATGTACAGGGTGTACGCTGTGGTGATAAGAAGTTTAAAAAAAACAAAGGTAAAGAATAGACCCGGGTGTACAGGGCAAAAATAAGGATAGTATGTACAGTGACCCGTACCCCACAAATAGGTAAATACTCCCCCCCTGCAGTACTACATGTATACTACAGTGTAGAAGTAAAAACAAACAAGCATTGTGCAGAACTCAATTACACTATGTACATATTTCCCATCAATACAAAAACAAATCAGTTCCTAAGAATCTCATGATGTGCAGACAAGGCTATCCATCTACTAGCAATAGATATTACTCACACAATGTACAGACAGAATTGGGGAATGAACAATGCAAGTAGGGTGTTCTTTACACATTGGGAGTGGAGACGAGTCAAATACAGTCTAGACCGTTTCGCTGGTACATTCAGGATTGGTAGGCTCAATGGTGCGTCTCAAGATCCTCACACTTATCAGTTTATTTCACCTTCCCTTGGCCAGGACATAGAGACCAATGCAGTGGGAAGGAGCGATAGCCAGGCATTTCAAGTTCATAAGTAGTGTAACTCACATTACATCAACAATACTATACAAGGCTCACATAGCAGGTAACAATACCGGTACATGTGCTTCAAAGTAGCTCAAAGCTCAGTTGCATGGGCTACTCAGTTGCATGGGCTACTCAGTTGCATGCGTCGTACCAGGGGCCTGTGAGGTAGGAGGCGCATCCTGCATGACCGCTTGCATGGGAGAAGATAGCGTGGAGAGTAGCGCGCGCATGTCCGGCTGCAGTGCGCTGGTGATGAGACGCACCTGCCCGGACAATGCCTGCTCCAGGCGTGGTGACAGTGGGCTCATCACCTCGCTCTCCTGGCCATACTGCAGAGAGAGAGAGAGAGAGAGAGAAAGAGAGAGAGATACTGGAAAAAGTACCATGGTGAAACAGTTGAAGTCTTCTTTTTTTTAAATTAAAAGAACATGTTCGCAAGTTCGTTCGTTATGATAAAGAAGGTTCGTCAAGACGAAGTCCATGTTCGTTTCAGCCCTAGTTCATAGACAGTATTGGGGTACTTCCCAGCCAGCTCCTGACTTGCTTATAGGACTACACCTCAATCCAAGAAGGATCATGCCTTGTTGGGCCAGCACTGGTCTAAGCTTGCGTCCATATGCCCAAAACACTTGCGTCCAGGTACGCACAGAATGTAAGCTAAGAAATCACTGGTGTAAACATGAGCATTGCAGCGCGACCTACCAAGAGATCATGAAGGCGTAAGACAAAGTCCACAACCTCCACTTCCGTTTTACCACGCATCCAGAATAGGACATCCTGCAAACACGAGTACACCAACACCATGAACAGCACAACATAGTAGAGCACAACAACACTGAGTACCCTCTTTCTCTAACACACAGAAAGAAGAGTAGAATACATGATTTCCAACATAAACCGGAAAACACCAGCAACAACACAATCACAACGACCATACAAAGAAGCGAAGCTAGAAAGAAACTGATGCTCTGACAAAAATGGTAGTTGACAGAGGCGAATTTACGTACTCCGAAGTACTAGTTTTCAGGCATGGAGAATCAGGAAAGGCGGAATATGGAGAATCAAGAAAGGCGGCGCACTATTAAACTGCAATCGCCCCAGAGTAAACAATGTCCTGAGACTCCTAGCACAGTTGCAGCAGCAGACGCTAGTACTAGACAGAGCAGTGACAGTACTCACTGCTTTGCAAATAGCTTCCAAGTAGAGCACTCGGATCTTGTTCGTAGCTTCCAACTGGCGTAGTCGCAGCCAATACTGGAAGTTTGGTGTGGAGAAAAAGCGCCTAGACAACAACAACAACAACAACAACAACAACAACAACAACAACAACAACAACAACAACAACAACAACAACAACAGCAGCAGCAGCAGCAGCAGCAGCAGATATAACAACAACACAAATATCAAGAGCAGCTCCAAGACATGATAACCAAAGCACACACAGACCACACAACATAGGAAGCCTCTCCTCATACATGCAGTGTGCAGAACACACGCAGACCACACACAGTGCTACATCATACATAGGCAGGGTCAATCAGAACTGATGTAAAACAGGAGAGCTTGCAAACATAGGCTTACTTTTTCAGAGGTGCTCTCCTGGAGAGCTGCACTTACACGCAGTTGCATGTACTGCATCTGTTGTCTGATGATCGTTTGTGAAACCATGAACCACTGAGCTACAATGAATACACCCTTACTTTCCTTTGTAGCCCATGCTTTCCTTTCTGTATGTCTTGTGTAGTTCCCTGTACGAGTATCAGTACTTGCAAGTAGCAATGTAAGTAAAGACTTACTTGTACAGGCCTGTCCAGTTGCCTTTCAGACCAGTTGTCAGGTGGGGACCGGAGATTTCCAGTGACTTCAAGAAGTCGGTCTGATTAAACGCTTTCAGGCCAGGAGGTTGCTGAAGATAGCACAAGAGACGAGGCAGCATGCATACACAATTTAGAGGAGGAAAAGTGCATTTGCTCAAGCAGTGTTTGTAAAATCCAGTGAACTTTGGATTAAAAAACAAAAAGGTTTACAGTATAAGGTAGTTGAGTCTCAGAGTCAGCGTTGGAAACACTTTTAAACAGCTTAACACTCACTCTCCAGGGTGTGATGGTGCGCTGAAGAGGTAGCAGTGTTGCGATATACCGCTCCTGGGTTCACAGTGTCACACACACACGCACACGTACACACACGTACACACACACGCACACACACACACACACCCACGCGCACATACACACACACACACACACACACAGACAAAACGAATGTAGGTACAGAAATGCCTTAGCAGTTGGCAACCCTCCCCCTCTACACACATACACAATACAAAAAATAAATAAAAATTTCACGGTTCGCAATACAAACACACACAGCAATTTCTTTATTTATTTTCAACCCAAGAGCATACACAGGAAGGGGAGGAAGACACATTGTAGTCCTGCGCTGTCACTTCTCCTGGTCACAACTGCACTTATAGTAGGCTGTCAGCATTATAATTATTGCAATATATTTCAGTTTTTTTCTTCGGTTTCTGCACAATTATTTTGACCGTAAGCCAGACTGGGTCACTCGTTGAAACATATAATGCGCTATTGTGTACAAAACATAAACGTCATCCTAGCATAGCATGTCGGTCCCGTTAACATACCAAAGGAATCATAAAGCTTTGCGTCACTTCGGACAGCATACGCCGTATGTGAGTATCCTGCACGGCAAACACAACACAAGAAAACGTAAAAGAGAACAGGTGATCCCTAAAGTCATACAGTTCAACAAGAACAGTCACTAGTAGACTCACTACTGCCACCACCGGTCCAACACACATTTCAATACAGCGGTACGGGACACGTGCCCAGCGATCACACATCATATCATGACCAGTCAACTGTCAAATTGTCAGCACTAGGCAAGAGATACTAGTAGTGGATTGCTCAGTAGAGACTTGAGAACACTCCATACCCCCCCTCTCCATGCCCCTGTGTTACAGCTGAATGCTCAGTATGTGTACAAGTCATGGTGTTTGCTTTGGCCCTGACCATATCCCTTTTAAAATACAATAATGCAGGTGAAGATAGTTTACAGCTGCTAATATCGTTTGAACATGTGTGTAAAGTACTAAAGTGCAACAAGAAAAGCCTTACTCGTGCATCGCCTGAACGCCGTGCTGTTGTCGGGGTCTAAGAAATAAACAATGGAAAAGCAACAAAGGATACACCAACTTCGTGCAATGTCCTTTGAAGCACACAAATCACCTCTTGCTTCGCCACTGCTTCAAAGGAACATGTACAAACAGGGGTTTGGGGTGTGGGTTGCGAGGACCAGTGCACAAACAAAACCACAGCACACAGGCACTGTATACAATTACATTCCTAGTTGTCTAATTGAGAATGGCACTAGGCAGCGGATAGGTGGGGTGGAGCACCTAGCCCGGCAACTCATTGGAATCTACACAAAATGCCATCATCATTCGATCATATATCCAAAGTTACAGTGGGCCACGAAGCAAACTGCAGTGCACCAGGATCCATGACACAATCTATCATCAGGGCCGTAGCACCCAGTCCGGCCGGTCTGGCCTCGGCACACAACCTGCGCAAACGGGTTGTTTTTTTCTTCGGTCAAGTATCCCATTTGGTGACCTGAAATCGAGGCACTACGACCCTGATCATACAGAAGAAGAAGAACTGGCAGCACAAACACCAGCAGGAAACGTTGCAGATGTACACAAGAGCGCAGCGTGGTCTTACCCTCCCAACAGCTCTCAGCGATGAGCGGTCAGGTGTGATGAACGGCTTGTATCGAGTGTACAGACCTATCAACAATACAGTATCAAAACAAGAGAGAATAGCTAATCAGCACGCTATCTGGAAGCAACACAACTGCCTCACACAGGCAGGGGACTTCACAATTATTTCGCCAGCCGTTGGTTAAGCATGCAATAACTTGTGAATTGTGTGGCCTGCGCAGTACAGTAGTGTCTAGTATAAAAGCCGGTCTCATGTAGAAGCCTGTTTTGAATACAAGCCTGATTTTTAAGATATACTGTCCGCACATAAGCCTGGTTTTAGTGTTGACACACATAGAAATACCTGGTTTGAATAGAAGCCTGATGTGAATAGAAGACTAGCCCTGACATCGGCTTCTACAGGAATAAGCCCGGCTTTAATACGCGACATTACGGGTAGATCTATGAAGAGATGAAGAACCATCACCATCAAAATAAAAGTCAACAACAACAACAACGACGACGACGACGGCAACAGCAACAACAACAACAACAACAACAACAACAACAACAACAACAACAACAACAACAAACCAATATGTAAGTAAGATAAGCTGAACACTGTTTTGCTTTTCGCTGCTCAAGGATTGCTTTCGCGTGCACAAAAGTAGTTTGGGATAAGGGCATACACTGCATATACAGTAGTAGTTTGTGGGAGTCCAGACACACACAACATGACGGATAGAGGATAATTAGTACCTGGTTTGACATCCATCACATGCCCTGGACTGGATGTGGCGGATTTCTTCAGCGGCTTGCTTGGGTCTGAACATTCAGCACGTTCATGCACATAAACACAGGGGAGCACAGGTTAGAGATGTATGTGTGCGTATGTGTGCGTCCACAGGTGTATGTGTGCCGCTTTCTCCGTCAACCAGACCACCTGCTTGACGGAGAAAGCGGCGGCGGTGGTGGTGCACCGGGGGCGTTCCAGCAGCAAAGCTGTATGGTCTGCCGGCCGAGATATGCACTGTGCCGCTTTGGTGGGTTAAAGCCAATGTCTGTACCGACTATCCGCAACACGCACGGAGTCATTTGTGGATCTATGCAAGAGCAGAGGGGCACATGGCACGGGCATTTCTCGAGTGTTCTGAATGTCTGCAGTAACTACGATGCAGAAGTACTCCAGCAAATTCCTCAGCGGGATATCATGGACTGGCTATCCCAGCCACCATCAGAAGAGGAGCTGTCCCATGCCCTGAATCACCTGAAGAACGACAAACCTGGTGGTGCGTCTCAGATAGTACCCGAATTGTTGAGGGCTGGTGGTGTACCCGTCACCCACTCACTCCCTTTGGACCTACTTCGATCTGTCTGGTCAGAAGGATATGTATATGTACCACAGGACTGGCGTGATGCACTACTCATACCCATCCCTAAGAAGGGCAACCTTTCTCGCTGCGATAATTTGTGAGGAATAGCGTTGCTGGAGGTTGTTGGAAAGCTAGCTGCTCGGGTCATGCAGAATATGAGTCGCCTGAGTCTCGATGTGGGTTCCGGCAAAATCGTGGTTGTTCCGATTCCATCTTCTCTGTTCGTAAACTTGTAGAGAAATCATACGAGCATCGTTGAAAACTGTTTTGCGTTTTTGTAGACCTCTGCAAAGCGTATGACGCTATGCCAGGTTTATGGCAAGCATTACTTCGGCTGGGTGTACCCCCTCAGGCTGTAGCTCTGGTGAAGTCGTTCTAGTGACCCCACTCCACTGTCATGCATGGTACAGCGAAGATATTTGGGGTGGCTTGAATACCTGGTTCGGCTTGATGGCAGTCGGCTACCCAAGCAGTTGCTCTTTGCTTCTCTCCACCACGCCCGCCTGTCTTGTGATCCCCGACGTCGCTGGAACTTGGAGGACACTGTCCAGGCTGGTTTGCCTGTGGCTGGTGCATGCAATTGGTTTGAGTCGGCCAACGGCCGCAGAGAGTGACGTGACATCGTGACGGCAGCAACGGAAGTGAAGGAGTCTGCCCCGAAGACCATTGTGTGCCACGTCTGCAACCGCCTGTTTCATCGTCACTCTGACTTAGCCCGACACAAGTGTAAACCTAGGCGGAGGTACATGAACAACAACGCCTGTGCTGATGCATATTCCGATTCCCAGCGGCTAGCCATCGAAGCCGAGAGCCGTAGAGCATAGCGCCGGTTGGATTTTTGAGATGAGGATGGAGCAGGTGAGGCAGGGCAGCGAAAATAAGCGAGAAAGAAGAAGACAGGAGGATGCCGACAAGCGTAACAAGGAGATGCTAGAAGCTGAAGACCGGCGGGAAGCGCAGAGGGAAAAGAATTCTGCAGATATTAGAATGTCAGAGCGGGAGCTCTTGCACAACCTGCCAGCGTTCATTCAAGTCAAGCTACTGGCCTCAGACACCATCGCTGTGGACCTGGCCTTGCCCGAAGCGCCCTGCAGCGAGTGATCGCCAGCATTTTGAACACCATTGCCAAGTCTGCAATCAACGGCAATTTCGCGAGGCGACAGGACTTGAAACGTCATTTGAAGCACTGCCTCCCTCTCCCCTCACCTCTCTGACAGTACCTCTTTTCGGGGAGCGACGTGGCGAGAAATTGCAGCTGTCAATAGTAGTACATGAAAAGCTGAGATGCAAAACCCGATTGCACCAAATTGAGAAAATCAGATTTTCACCTCCGTGCAATGAAGAGGTCTGGGGCGCCACCAGGCAAAATTTCACATTCAAAACCTGACTAGAAACATTTCAAAACTGGAACCCAAATACATGGATGGATATGGGTTTAGATACAAACCGCACATAAAATGAATCTTTTTTTGGCCATTATCCGAAAAGTGATGAAATGGATTTAGCGGGTTTTGCATCTCAGCTCTTCACATGTAGCAGTGTGTGTGTGTGTGTGTGTGTGTGTGTGTGTGTGTGTGTGTGTGTGTGTGTGTGTGTGTGTGTGTGTGTTGTGAAGAGCTAAGTATCTTGTCATCCTAATCTTGTTTAACCATCTTTGATGGTACAGGGCTGAGGCACACACACCAAAGTAATAGCCTTCATGTTGCACATGCTACCAAGAGTACCACATGGTATCAAGAGTAAATAAGCTCCCAAGAGTGTGCAACTCTGCTGCATACAGGGTCTCCGACGGCGAAAACTCACATCACGTGTTCCAAGTACGATTTGCACCACGTACAACGAAGACTAAGGTGCGCGCAATCCAAATATCAGCTATGATCATTCTGATGACTCGCATAAGCGGAGTGGGTTTCTGTCAGGGAGTGCTATTTTTCAACTCCATTGGTCGCTAAAATGGGCTGGGAACACTACAACACGTGATGTGAGTTTTCGCCGCCGGTGGACCCCATAGAAAGGGTATCTAGAGTTGAACACTCTTGGGAGCTTATGTACTATTGATGTTATGCTGCTTACACGTCAAGTTCAACACAGCTAACGCTACCCTGAACACACATACACACACACACACACACATACATCCAGAACACTCAGAGTCAGAGCAGTAGATATAGCACAGCCACTACACACTACACACTGCACCATGGGGCCAGCAACTGACCCGCAGCATCGTCAATGCGCACCACGTGTGGCCAGTGTTGCAGTGCCTTGGTGAAGAATGGATTGGTGACACCGAGAATGACATTGGGCCTGAAGGATGAGAAACAACACACAGCACTTGAACTGGAGAATCCAAGCGATGCACTAAGTGCTCTTTTGTCAAAATAAAATAACTACATTGTACCATTGAACAGTCACTACAGTACATGACATTGTACAATTACACAATTACACAGTGACTACATGACACATTGTACTGTGGCTGTGAGAGGAGCATGGAGACAGCAGCTGTACTGTGGCTCTGAGAGGAGCATGGAGACAGCAGCAGCTGTACTTACGGTGCTTGTGTACGTGTAGTATAGTCCTTGAACTCAGTGTCATGGATTGTAAAATACGGCCTGGAGAGTGGAACAGAGAACGAACAAATGCAATACGGACAAATCACTTTATACAAACAGAGAGAGAGAGAGAGACACACACACACACACACACGAACCCCAAATATCAACTCACTACTTGCATGCAGTTCACCACACGAGAAACTCATGCATCGCAGTTCAGAATAACACAGTTCACTACAGCTTTATAGATTACGCTATGCAAATATCAGGAGAGAGAAAGAGAGTGAGTGAGGATGGAGAGAGAGAGAGAGAGAGAGAGAGAGAGAGAGAGAGAGAGAGAGAGAGAGAGGAGAGAGAGAGAAAAGGAAGTATCTAGGTAGGCCACCACAACAGAGCTACAAGATGCGGCACCACCAATCAATGAGCAATAGAACGCGGTGGCTGGGAGCATAGTTGCATAGCCATACCTGTAGTCTGAGCCATAGTGGAGCGGTAGAATCATGTTGATGAGGACTTGGACAAATTTAGAACACAGCGTTGGGTTGGGTGCCATTACAGCAAGAGGCTATACAAGCATGAGTAAAAGAAGATGATACCAAACAAACCGTAAGTTAATGAAGAAGAAGCAAAGATTTAAAAAAAAAAAAGAGTTACTAAACACATATCCCCATCTGGTCGCATGTGCTCACTTCTGCATTCTTGCACAAATCACATGCCTGGAGAGTTGTTTTTGGAAATACATTACAGGCAATAGCACACACCACTGCTAATAGAACTAGTTTCCAATCATCCAAAATTCTAAACTGTAAAAGGATACATGTTTGTTAACAAAAAAAACCTTCGTTCAAAGCCATCCGTTGGCCTTTCATGAAGCAGTTATTTTCATTCAGGAACGCCCGCGGACCATCACCCCATGCACTACATGTGGTATGCACAGCTGGTACAGTTGTAGCTATACATGTACATGTACTTACTTCGTTGAGTAAAACAAGCTCCCACAGCAGATAGAGGTGAGGAAGCAGAGGTTGTAAAACCCTGCAGCCAAGACAACGACAACCATAGCGAGTGCACGATTCGTCAGCTCCGGGTGAGAAAGAGGGGACGTGTTTGGAAAGTTCCTTGCACATTGAATGCTTTGAATTCGAAGGCTGTACAAGTACGCAGGGGCACAAGTCGCTTATCTGGATGCGGGTAGGATCCGGTTTTCTTTGGAAACGTAAATAGCTGGACTACATGTACTATCGTGCCTGCAGCACAGTCTGAGCCGTGCTCGACATGACGCGTTGAGTTCTATCGCACAAATGACATAGCACGATTCTCCCCAAGGCCAGTGGCTCTAGTGAGCTATGTGTTTCTGTTAGGAGTTGAAGTTTGGTAACAACGCCTGCCTGCAGTGCATGTACATGTACGTTAATGCTGTTATCACTATTTTTGCTTATTCGCGTTAGCGACAACATGCACAGAGCAAGCTCACAGTCCCTGTCGAACGCACCACCAAGCGCCGGCAACTACAGTCAAGCCCAGTTGGTTCTCTAACAAGGTGCTGATATGAGTTCTCTGTCAGCGTGCTGATATGAGAAACTACATTGTATGATTGTACTGACTACAGAAATATGATACGCCTGATGAATATTCTGATAGTGTATCCGTCTGATTTACAGTATTTTTATTATCCTGATTCCACTGATGGCATGCAATGGGATGCTGAAACACCGGGAATAACTATGGCTCGTGCAGCCGTGTGGCTAACTTTCACAGCAATGTACATTGTACATGCATTATTGTATGGTGTAGTTTACCATGCCAGAACATGGGCTAGCAAAAGGAGAAAATCAGACCGTATGAGTTCTGCGGAACATGTACAATGTAGGAGTTCAGTTCTGTACAAAGTTCAAACTAGGGGCGGATACGACAAGCAAGCACTAACCGATAGAACTCCAACTCATAGACAGACGGCAGTATGACTGGCCTGACACTCATTGGCTGTAGACAACAAAGGAGCAAAAATCACATCAGTGAGCCTAGCAGAGTGTGTTGCACTACAAGCACTCAATTTGTAGCAACAGTTTGGTTAGATAAGCAACAGTGTCAGTATCAGTAACTGTGAAAAAGCGTGAGAAGGGTCATACACACTCACTGGTATCGTTACGGGGGCACGCACTGTTGCTGGCTTGTCCTTTACGGACGGAATGCGAACCTTGAAAGACACACCAATCACACAGTACATGTACAATACTTAGCACACATACCGGACACACATACCGGGGCAAAAATGGACAACATTCATTGTTGAAGCAACAGGAATGCATCAATGAGCTGCTAGAATTGTGTCACATATAAATAGGAAGGCCGATAACAGCTTCCTGTAACACACAGCTGGTGATGTTTACCTGTAAGACCTGGCCAATGAGAGGCAAATGCAAGTACTGGCCCGGCATTGGGAATGGCCACTGCTGAATTTGATGATACACTGCAAACAACAACGTGCCAATGTCACACATGCATGCGCATATACACAAACACACACACACATCACACATGCATGCACACGCACACACACACACACACACACACACACACCTTCATCATTTTGCGAGAACTGTGGCAATACGCCCAGTGAGAAGGCAGATTTTGCCTGTGCTTCTGGTGAAGTAAAATAAAGCTAAACAAACAAACAAACAAACACACACACACACACATACACACACACACATGCACGCACGAACACGCACATACACACACAAGAACTTACGACAATGAAGAGATGGACGCCCCCAAACTATACCATTCTCACACAGAACACTAAACATTCTAAATTCACGAAGATAGGCACAGTAACAAGTTACCTGTAGTCAGTACATTGCATGTACTAGTAATGTCAGGTTCGAACAGCAGTCAAAGTTCTTACCTGCCTCCAGTGCTGCTTCACCATTGTCAAAGAACTCAGGGGCAACCATCTCAGCCTGCAGTGTACAGTGTGAACAGCAACATGTACAGTACATGTACATGTAGATATAAGATATAAGCAAAAGTAGTGTCTAGCATTCTCATCATATGGGATGAGGAAAAGACTGCGTGTACAAGCACTCGCAAGAAATGACACTAAGTAGATGCAGAAATACAAAATGAAATGAAAATAATTGAGAGCAAAGACCGGTGAAAACGGTTTGAGCATGACCAAACATCCCTAGCATTGTTTGTTAGCACTCCCATCCATCAGCTTCTACATGACCTGGTGAAGAACAGAACACAATGACTGCGACAAGTCAAACTCACCACAAGGTAGAAGAGTGCAATGAAGGGGTAGTGCGTCAGGATGATTACAGACTATTAGCAAACACATGTACAGACAGACGCAAACACACACACACACACACACGCACACACACACACACACACACACACGCATACAAGAGCACAGAGAATGGGACTAGAGCTTCATGCATGCAAGTAGCACATACATCCTGTACATTAAAAGTTTCCATGAAAAGTTCTACAAAATGGCCGTCCAATACATGCACTCTGCTACACATGCAGTGCTGCCAAACCGTCCGATTTTTCGGACAGTGTCCGATTTTTGAAGGCTCTTCCGAAAACCGGTCCGAAAAGGGAAACGTCCGAAAAGCAGCCAAAATGTCGGAGATCATTACTTCCCTATGCAGAAGTCCTGTACTTTCACTTTTCAGCGCAACTGAAGGCACAAATCACTGTACATTTGCTTCTAAAAAGGCTAGCGCTTGGCTGTGGAAGTGCAAAGTAACATGCCTGGATCAGGCTGGATGGCATGTACGCTGACAGTCTGTACAGGGTCAGTGTGCGACCACACTCGTACTCATCATTTAAAATTCATGACAACTCCGGGGTTACCATGGCAACGAAGCGAATTTTCATGGTGTTTTAGGCGATATTTTGAATTCTCTGTAAAAAAATTGCCGAGGAGAAAAATTCGCACCATGTGGCCAGCCTTGGTGGTGAAGGGTGTCCGATTTTGGGCGAAACATATTTGGCAGCACTGCACATGCATGCACACGTATAATTATTGTATGTTCCGGAGTATGGATTTTCCGGGTAGTGAGCATTGTCTCAACCAGACTGCATGGACTAGAGAGATACGAGCGTAGTTGCTACAATACTACTACAGCAAACATGTATGAGCTAAAACTCAAAGCAGCCGTCAACACAACTACTTTGTTGTGCAGTGTTTCCGACTCCATCATCACCTCACCTTCTGAAAGTAGCCACGCTTGTTCTGCGGATCCCTGACTTGCCGAAAGAAGCAAAAACCAAAGTAGGCCGAGTTGTCACACTGCAGTAACCCATAAACAAACATACATGTACCCTTTTATATACTTGACAATTTCAAGTACAGTCAACTTCGCTTATAACGACATTCGGCGGGACATCAAAAAGGTGTCCTTATTCACGAAGTGTCGTTATACCCGAAGTCTCATTATATGTATTACAGTGGGATGGGACTTTGCTCTGGGTATGGAAATTCTGTCGTTATTCGCGAATTGTCGTTATATCCGCAGTCGTTATTAGCGAAGTTGACTGTACAGCCAAATCCGTTATCACTTCAGCATGCAGCAATAAGGCCAGCAGCCTCTAGAAGCACACTGATTAGAAACACCAACATTTCTAATCATATCCAAATACACCAACAAAAAACCCCTCACGAGTTCCTGCAACATCATAGTGCATGCTGAATATGAGACACACATAACGTGTAGTCTATGACGAAATTATAGTTCTGTGATTCCACTACTAGTATCACACACACACACACACACACACACACACACACACACACACACACACACACACACACACGCACGCACGCACGCACGCACGCACACACACACACGCACACACGCACACACACACACACACACGCACGCACGCACGCACGCACGCACGCACGCACACACACACAATAAGATACTGTGAAGCTGGAAAATTTCGCGCAAGCTTTTCGTGATGGGAAAGGATTAGTAAAATGGTGCCTGGGACAAGAATTCAAAATACCACATGTACTGACACTCATAATTTACCGCAGACCACAATGATCACATTCGGTAAATTTAATTGTCGCTAACACGTCTGCCACCTGAAATCACCGCGAAAATATCCCGCTTTACAGTAAGAAGATGCCTACAATGCAGTGGTGCTAACTAAAATGGGAAACTAGAGAAAGCAGTGACACTACGGCTAGGTCAGTGAGATCAATAGCATGCAGCCCTCACCATCAGAGCTGGAGGAGAGAGCACAGCCTCGTGGCGGGCGGCTAGTGAGCCGGTGTCATCAGCACCACCCGCACCAGCACCACTGCAACGCACCCGGAAGTGTAGCAGCGTATCGCCCATGCAGCCTGAAACACACAACCCCAACAAACACAGCAACGCACGGAGTAGATCTCAAACACGGCACGCTTGCCATACGAGTATGCACGGAACCGACCAGATTTTCACAGTACAGTACATGAACCAGCATAGGACAACAACACAGGGCTGGTGCAAGTGACACTGCAAGCAAAGCAAACACACTACTGACCAGCATTCAAGAACCCAACCTACCGGAATTAGAATCGGGAAACGCCAGGTAGCAGGTGTTCATTCGCTGTACACACCAACAACCGTACACACAGAGGCAATACGTCGGGGCAAGCAACTACAATTGTTCTGATCTACACCATAGCAACCCTGGCATAGTGTTCTCACAAAACTGTAATCAACATCGATCTTTACAAGATGTAAGACATGCCATTGATCCATGAATGTGCAACACAGCCATACACAGACAGTAGATGCGCATCAGCAGTGCACTGACACAAATACCCATACAACGGACCAAAAAAGAAAGAGAACAAAGCAGCAAGGATGGGCACATGCACTAAGTATAAGAGTGCACATGTACAACCATGGTCATACCTCAGCATCAGACAGGGGAAAGTCCTTCGGATAGATAGTCTACAGATAAAAGCAGAAAAAAAGATCATCAGTGCCAAAGATACGAAGTAACAGGCAAGGACAGGGATCGGGAGTTCCAGTGCTCACACCAAAGGACATAAACAGAAGGATCGATCACTTGGGTTCAATCTCTTACAATAGTGCAGTGGGAGACGTGCGTGAATCTACAATACGTGCCAGTGCAGGTATGCCTGTGGATGAAACATGTGCACCATCTGGCACGGCAAGCCTGGCGTTTCGCGTTGTTGCACACCGTACTGCACTTGACAGCCTTTGATCTAATTCCCGCCCTCTACCGAAAACCCAGCTGGGAAGCGAGGGGGGGGGGGATCAACGGTACTTTACGGTACACGTAAAATGATGATTTAGAAGAGACCGTGCTTTGAGTGTTTAAGTTGAGATTCTACAGTACTGTCAGTCGCCGAAGAACTGGGGGGGGGGGGGGGGTCAGCCTCCTAGCCTAGACCGTTCTTATTTTCATGTATTACAGCCTATGCGCAGTTGAGTCACCGCGTATACATTGGTATGCTGCGCTTGATGAAATTCTAGCCTGGCCGTTCTTCGGCGTTCCGTTCTTCGACGCTCTGTTCTTCAGCGCCCGACAGTACTGTAAGGTGTAAATGGCTGCAGTGGAGTCTGTGAGTACTTAGAACAGTATAGTGATGATGTTCTGTTTATAATGCGATTGCACTTGGAAGTTAGCAATGGTGCACGGTCATTGCACAGGCTCCAAAACACGTCACTACTCAGCCATTTGTTTATGGATACCTGTATGTATGCATGTCTTCATCTTCAATCAAATACTTCAGGTTCACCAGTTTCTATTATGAGACCAACTAGATTCTAGAACATGCAAGGGCTACATAGCACAAGCAACATGTATGTGAGTAAAGAGGCACTTGGCATGAAAGCCATTTCAAAGTTTCAAAATAGCCCCCAAATTTAGCAACTGCCCATTTCACCATTTTACCAGCAACTATTATTGCTAAAACTCTTACCTCCAGAGCTTGACCAAGCTCCAAATCGAACGTAACAACGCATATGGCGCTGATCCAGTTTGACGAGCGAGAGATGGAAGAGGATGACGATGACGCCATCGCGTCAATGAGTATCCAGCTCAATTAGCTGATGGCAATTTTGCTTGTACAATGTACTTTTCCAGCCAGAACTGAGCACGATAAGCTAAAGATAACTTGCAAATAAGCTGCCACCGTGACTCCTAATATTCCAGGACATGTCTTGTCATACTGGATCCACGGGGAAGGCGAGCGTCCAGGAGAGATTCTCCTAGACACCAAAATTGATTTTAGTTTCAGAAGCACTCTACCATACGAAACCCAAGGCCAAGCCATGGCCAAAAGGGTTGGTGCATCATTCAAAGTAAAGAGTAGTAAAATATCAACATCTTCTCACCTTGAAGTCGTAAAATCTCCCCAGAAGAACTCAGCAGAAGACCACTGCACTTGCACCGCACCCAGCACCAACACCTGCCAAGCGGCCCAAGCCCAGCCAAATGACCCTGGATAAGGAGACCATGCGTCCATGTTTTGAAGGTCCTCTGAGCGGTCGTCTTAGACAGGTTGTCTTCTGCAGCACTTGACTTGGCCGCTGGCGCCACTCAGGGTCTATTTCAACGGATTGTCTGTGATCTCAATCCATTTCTCAGTCTCTCTCACCATTCTCCTTTGATTTTACCGGTATTGGAGTTCCATCTCAGACTTAATTTATTTATTTTCATTTTCCCAGTATTGGTTTGGAGGAGAGACTCCCAACATACATGTACCGGTAGTTACATGATTACCGTGCCGTGTGTGGAGAACTTTATGATCCGTAAACATAGTAACGATACGATACCGTACCGCCCTGGGGGGGGGGGGGGGGGGGGGGGCTGGCCACTGTGACATCTACCAGCATCAGCTGGAAAGCATGTCCTACTCGAGTCAGCTAGCCTAGAGTCGGTGGCGTATTCACCCCCAACAAGTTCAGCTATCAACACAATGGGCGCTTTCGATTACACGCATTTCGGTCAATTCTAGAATTAGTTATTGTTGATGCACAGTTCGATTTAATACACAAAAAGTGGCAAATTCCATCGTTAGAATTGATTTTATCCAATTCCGTCGAATCCGTCAATTCTGAAGAGAGGGCGGAATTTCTCTAATTCTGGCGCCAGAATTGCACAGTCGGTGTGTTACCGGTCTGGTCATGACTCAAGCGCGCAAAGAGCCTCCCTGGCCGGCGTGTACGCGATGCTGGGTCCACGTGCGCGCGAGGGTGTACGTGATCTCTTTTTACGATTCATTGTTTGTGACATGACATGAATAAAATGCGTTGTGAATTCCAGTCGTTCGTTTACAAGGCCGGAATCCGCTCATTCTGGTCATACCAGAATTTAAAAAAACCAGTTCCAGAATTGTGTAAACGTGTAATCGAAAGCGCCCAATGCGGCCATGATGTTGATACTGATAGTTGTAGTAGAGGAGCAGCTTGCCGTATCTTGCACATTCGATCAGTGATCCATATGCAGACCGCACATGGTCCATGCTTTCCTGTAAACGATGGGAATGTTTTTTAAATGATGCGACTGAGAGCAGCAGCCATACACACATATACGCACGTGCATACACACACACACACATGCACACACCACCACCCCCCCCCCCCCACACACACACGTGCACACACACACACACACACACACACACACACACACACACACACACACACACACACACACACACACACACACACACACACACACACGTGTACACACACACACACACACACACGTGCACACACACACGCCCGCACACATGATGCATGCACGCTATAGTTCTTTCCACAAACTTACAGAACCGCACACATGTGAAACCCGGCGATTGAGTGAGTAACAGTGTACTTTGAATAATACAAAAACAACTGAGTTCTGGTGAGAGCAGCATCACAGCAACTGAAATCAAGGTTATCTCACAGTAAGCGCCACACATACTTCAAATACTAGCACTAGCAGCCAGCTGCTGTTACCATGGTTACTCTAACTCAACTACAGCACTATGAAGATCATCAGCTGCACAGTATAAGCCATGCCGCATATGCATGATTGTGTACAAGTCATATTATGTGTTCAACATCTGAGTCGTGATAACAAGAAATACAGTCATCAGGCCAAGATACCCTGAGCAAGCCAGTACAAGTAAGGTAGCCATAAAAAGGAGGCAGTACTATTAGTATAACGCTAGAAAGGCCCAGAACATCATGCATTGCCAGCTTTGATCAAACAGCCGAGTCGATTATGTGTTCAACGTATTTCCCAACATGCTGCTATGGACTCAGCACACACACGCACACACACACGCACACACACAAGCACACACACACACACACACACACATACACACACACACACATCCACACATACACACACACACACACACACACACACACGCACACACTGTAACTCTGGCATACTGGTTCACTAGTGTTCACGACACACCATACTCTACTCACTACCTTTTGCGTACTACGTGTACATGTTCATCCATCCTGGCACTGACACTACTCAGTAAACGGCGCGTTAGAGCTCTGCGTACTTTATCACCAGATTATCACGATGCAGGGGACAGTGACATGCGACTATTCCGTGAATTTACAAAGGCAGTAGCGTACAGCGTGGTGTTCCGATGACTATTTTCAGTAAAGACCATGATAGTTATTTCGGTCGCCAAGATAATAATACTCTGGATTCACAATAGAGAGACTACGCTAGTCGTAGACGTGGACAGTACTCAGTGTGTATACCTTTATCAACACGTGTCATCGGTTCAGGTCCGACCTGGGCCAGGTTGTCATACATGTACTAGTACAGTGGGGCACTTTCTGCCTTTCAAATCATTCTGGCTGGCTAGTGTCTTGAAGCAGTGGGCATGTGCCGCCTTATGGTGATACGTGGCACGGTGCACATCCTCGTCAGTATCACTCCGTGTAGAGTACAGTAGCAGTTAGGCCTGAGAGGGCAAGTCCAGAAACGGTTTTCTTTCTAGACTAGTCACCAAGGCTTCCAAAGTCGAGCTTCAAAGGAGAATCTTCGAAGAACGACAGGTTGAACTCTTCCGCTAGACACTGTGCAAGAAGTGTTTGTTTCTGGTCCGGATCGATAGTGTGCGCCTGGTCAATAAACACCGTAGCCATGTCACTGAGCGTGCTGGCATCTTCCCGGCTTTCGCCGTCGATGCCGGCTGATTTCAGAACAGAGTTGCGGCGTTTTAGACCACCGCTCTTCTTCCTTCCGTCTGTGTCCTTCCTAGGTGTCACACTGCGACCGTTGTCGGTGTCTGCTTTCAACTCCGACTCGACCAGAACTCCGCTCGTGTCCACCAGTGTACTCGCATTGGACTCGGGAGATTTGGACGCTCTACTCGCACGACTCTCGCTGCTGCTTTCCTCAGATGTGGCGCGGACTTCGCCATCGACAGTGGTAATGGTTGTGTCACCATTTCGATGTGCAGCACCAGCAGCAGCGGCACCAGCCATATCTCGTCCTCCTTTGCCTTGCTGCTGCTGTTTCTTCACACCATTACCAGTGGCGTTTCCATTGGACTTGTGTCGAAGCTGAGGACTGCTGTCGTAGTCCACAACGTCAGGGAAAAGCTCTCTCTGCACTTGACCTGGGGAGTAGGATTCCCCGGGAGAGTATGCAGTTCCGGAGGAAGCATGGGGCAGAACAGTCATTCTCAGGCGAGCTGAGCCTCTCAGCAGCATATCAACGTCGCGCACGTCCAAGAAGGCCGTGATGTTCAGGCCATTGACTGAGATCAGCTCATCGCCAACCTGCAGCAGCTGCTGGTCCGCGACAATGCTAGCTGCGTTCACTTCCGTAACGAAGAATCCAGCTGACGACTTCTTGTCACCTTTTCCGTCATCCTTGACGCTTGCCACGCCATGGCGAGATGGTGTGTGCAGACGGCGTTCGATTTTGAAGCCAGGAGATCGATCATCGGTGGTGAGCTGGTAATCAACATTGCGAAACTTCGAGTCGCGGCCATCCGTCGTAATACTGGCGACGTTCTGGAAGGATCCGCTCACCACCTCGATTGCGGGTCGGTTTTTCCGAAGCGACCCCATGCGAAACGACCCGGAGCGTCTTACTGTGCCGGTTCTCTTCTTCTGGGCCTTAGTGTCCGACGCTGGAGAGCTATCTCTAAGCGACAGTCGATCCCCGGTATCCGTTCCCAACGTCAACGGGCGGCCATTCTCAGCTCCACCCTCATGATAATTCGCCTGAGCGGACGCGGGCCGCCCGACTGAACTTTTACGCTGCCGTTTCTTGAACATCCCTCGCCAGTCACGGTCACTGCCACCACTACTCACTAGACACCAGGCAGTGCTGAAAAGTAGCTGCAACCGAATGTTCCGCCTCGGAGTCGGACACAATGTGTGTTGTGTACGCAGCAGCAGTACAACACGCGATCGCGATAACGAGCAGTTCCTGTTGCCTGTGATGATCGTGTCCTTCCGAACATGAAACTCCACTCGCCTCTACCAGCCGGTTGTCGACGTGTTCCAAATATATAACTCACCACCCCCAGCCAAGAACGCAGATATTGTGACACCGGAGAACACTGCGCCACACGGCGAACCAAGTGCCTTGAGAAGTTGAGTTGGCAGTTGAGTCGAGAGATATGCCGGCAGTTGTAAGTACACAGTCAGCGCTATGCAGCGCAGTTTACGCGATCGGAAAGACAAGTACGGTACGTAGGCAATAGTACAATCATGTACATGACTGATACGTAGCAAAAGACCCGCCACAAGCACTAGCGACTATCTTTTCCGCCGGTGGGACAAAAATGTTGTATTGCAACTACGGTAGTACCAGTACAGTACTGGTAGTATCATTCGTACACCAAAGCCAAAGGAGAAACTTTACTTCCAAACTACTACAGATACTAAGTAACTGAGACCTCTTCGTTGTTTGAAATAATTATTGGTGTGAGTAATGGCTACCGAGGGTAGCATTAAACTCATAGAATTTTTTTAGTCTTTTTTTAGTCTACTTCTCAGTCTTCAGCGTTTGTGTGCAGGTAAATGACGACCTACTACAGTACTAGTACTACTGTACTAGTACTGCAGTACGAGTGGATCTACTGGTTGAAAGAATCGCTATCTCCACCGCTCCCGGCCACCTAACCGGGTCTATCGTAGTATCAAGCCTTTGCCTTGGCGAATGGCGACCCACCGAAGCCCTAACGACCTGTCCTTACAACGAATGTCACACTGAAGACATGCAGACAGCCTAAAATGCGATCGGACCCCGTCGTCGGTACTACTACAGTACTACTACTTATAATTTA